CAATTGGACTCAATGTGTTTTCATTTATATGTATGATAGATGTTTGATGTTAAGTATGTGTGATTTCATTAATGTCTGGAAATTATATATGGCTAAAGAATTGTGTACAGGTGCCAAGTTGGCAAGGGGTGGATTGAGGCAGTTAGTTTATTGTGCCAACCTGGCCAATAACACATGTGGGATTAATTGAAGGGTGGAGGGATAAATGGCTCGGCAAGCCTGCCTTTCTTGTCTCTTGTTCTTTGATCATCGAACCAGTGTGCGGCTGCCTTGCTTGTTCTTTGCCTCAATTAGCAAGCTTCATTACCTGTGGGACACCTAACCCGTGGACTGTGTTGCTGTATTTTGAGGTTCCTTCAAGACCTGCTTCGCTACACCATTGGAATTTACATCTCTTGAGTTGGGGACTGTCGGACCCTGTTATCTGGCTGACTGTCAGTGACCTTCCTTGCTGTTTGCTGCCTGTGCCCAGATAGCCTGAATTGCTCTACAGAGGACTACCCGGCGACCCTCAAGACTTGAAGAACTGATAGTGTCTCACAGCTGTCTCACGGGATTGAGTTGCACTGAGTCATTTGTACTGCTTTATAATTTAATTAACTGTTTATTTCTTATGTTATCTCTCTATCTGTATAAATATATATAATATTATTAGCATTCTGGTTTTGTTTCTCTAGAGAACCCCGTCTAACACAGATGGTTATCCATAACACCACAGAACAAGACCCCCAATTAAACCACAAACAAGAGTAAAGCACATCACTTGCCTCTGAATAAAGTGGTTCTTATTAAAATTCCACTCATCATTGCATTAAGAAGGATCCTGTGGAGCTCAAGGCAGCCTCTGTCCTCTGACTTCCTTGGGAGGCACCTGCCGCCCAGCCCTTGCCCCGGGAAGCCTAAAGAGGTTAGACATTCCTCTGGCCTTGGTTCAGCTGGAGATGGCTCCGTGCAGCGGCTGTGGGTCAGAGGGTGTTCAGGTCAGGCCAGGTTGGGGTTTGAGCCCACTCTCCCTTCATGCCCTGCAGCCCCACATCTGCCAACATCACTCCTTGCTGGGCACCCTCTGTTTTTGTGCTAACAGCTCCCCAAATATTGTCTCTCAAATGCCCTAGTTTACTTTTGACCGCCTCACACCTTGTCAATCCAACCTTCAGCCTACGGGTTCTTGAGGCCAGGGTCAGGTCTGAGGTACCCCATGGCTAGCACCCAACCTGCAGCCTGGCCAGATGTCGGATACCCTCACAACGGACACCCAGGTCATGGTGCTGGGGTGGTCTCTGAAATGCACAGGGTCTGGTCAGACACAGGCTGGGCCTTGGACTGACTTTGAGAGAAGACTTGCGTTGTCTGAGTGCATTCTCTCAACCACTTGTGGAGCCCATACCGCCCCCCCCCCACCCTCAGTTCACAGATGGAGAAACCGGGCTGGGTCATCCCCTCCTGGCTGGCCTCACTCCGAGCCTACCAGAGGAGGGCCCTGGAGCTCAGGTGAGGCTTCTCGGCAGCCAGGCGGGACCTGGGAATGATGGGAAGAAATGGTCTCCTGCACTGGTCAGGGCAGTTGCCCCACAGTCCAGGGCCCCGTCTCTGGGGAGCCCAGGTGGAAGTGGTTGAAGGAGCCCTGAGGGTGGGTGGACTTGGCCCACAGGAGAAGGAACCTGTGTCACAGGCTTGGTCTTAAGGTGACCAGACGTCCCGCTTTTGGCGGGACAGTCCCAATTTTTAACAATTTTTCCCACGTCCCGCAGCGTTTTTAAAAAATCCTGATTTTTGGAAAGAATGCATGACTAGTTAGGGTATATGGTTTTCAGCTGCCATGTGGCTATTTCGCCAGGATATGAATTTTATCGACGGTGTCCCGCTTTCCCAAGGTTAAAATCTGGTCACCTTATCCAAACTGCTTGGACCCTTAAAGGCTGCTCCCCTCCGCTTTATCCATCACACTCCTCTCCCCCAGCTTCCCCGAGAGCATGCACCGAGCGTCTGAGACCCCTTCCACTCTGGCCATGTCTCTGCCTCAAGGGGCCGCTCCAGCAGGCTCCTGTGGAAGGTCTGGGTCAGTTAAGGGCCTTTGGAGGCCCCTCAACACCTCAAGTGGCCAGTCCTAGTCTGGACAGAGGGCACCCAGGGACGGAGGCTGCCAGAGAGAGCAAGGAGCATGGAGGGAAGGCAGGTCTGAGGAGGGACCTGGGAGCAAGGGCCTTAGAGGGCCAGAGCAGAGGGGCCTAGCCAAGGGACACGGTCAGAGGAGGCCACAGCCTGGCTGGTTCTGCCCAGCAGCGGCAGCTCCACGTCCACGCTGCCCAGACAGTGATGTCCCGGACTTACCCGAGGAGAGACGGAGAAAGAGTCAGCACCAAAGACAGAGGCCAGTGCCAAAGGTTAGTGGGACACTTGGGCTCTGCAAGGACCCGTGGGGGCAGTATGTCCTTTTCTGACCTGGGACCCCCCAGCTCAGTCACCTCCCCTCTGATGGAGCTCACATCCTGGTAAGACACACCACACTCACACATACAGTACACACACACACACACACACACACACACACACACACACACACACACACACCGACCCCCTCAGAGCCTGACTCCCTTCCTTCTCTCCCAGACACCTGAGTTCAGGGCCCAGGCCGTCGTAGACAGAGGCTTAGATAGAGGCTGGTGGGAAGCCGTTGAAGGTGGAGCTCATGACGGATGAGTAGGCGCCCATGGAAGGGAAGACCAGCCAGTCGCCCACCTCCAGCTCAGGCAGCTGCACGTCGTCCATGAAGAGCTTGTGGAAGGGGTTGCACGTGGGGCCAAAGAGGGTGCAGCGGAAGAGGGGCGCCTTTGAACCGAGCTCCTGAAGGGCCAAAGAACAAAGCATCCTGCCAGGTGCCCCTACCCACCCCGCCCCGCCCCACAGGCAGTCACACGAGTGAGCTGCACCTGCAGGGACATCGCACTGTCGTCCTTGCTGTGAATGGCTGTGGAATAGCTCCTAATGCGTGGTGACCCCACATGTGTTAGAACATCACTTTGCTTTAGAGGGCTTTCAATGACTGGCTGCAGAATGACCACCAGGCCTTTCTGCTGAGGCTCCTCCGTGGATTCAACTGCCAGTCTCTTGGTAAGCAATGGAGTCTATTCAACCTTGACACCTTCCGGGGTCCTCTGGCCAGGGCTGGTCTCCACATTTGCAATGCACACGAACCAAAGGCCCCACCCTTGCAACGCTTCTGTCCTGGTGGCTCATCCTAGTCCTCCAAAGTCACAAGTGCAGACACACCTGGGAGCTTAGTTTTCGCATCTATGCAGTGGGATGATTGTAGTCAA